GTGGAATACGAACGTCAGTATAGAATACGAATGTCGGAATAGCCACGCGAGCTTGGAATACGAACGTCAGATTAACATTGTTGTTGTGTTGTTGCTGCAGAAACTGTGCCCGCAGGAACCCTGAAACCGAAAGGTTTTGAACCGTAAGGTTTTGAGATCGAGGAGATCTGTTGCCTTGACCGAAAGGTCTTATAGATCGATGAGATCTTGATAGTACTGAGATCGAGGAGATCTTTTGCCTTGACCGAAAGGTCAGATTGACATTATTTTATCCTCTGGGTTATCAAAACATAATATATCCAGAATGTTTTTAAAAGGTATTCTGGTTTTGTATATTTTACTTTAGCCAAAGCATTTGAATTATTGAATTTAAGTTTAACATTTGAAATAAATAAATGATTAACAGATGGTAAATTTTAGTCTACTCATTTCACTTTAGCTGTGTGTGAACACTTGGAACTTAAATCTTATTCTCAAAAATATGAGGATCGATCTTTCTGGTGTGACCAAAGCTTGCATGGAATATTCGCAGCAAATATGATATGCTGAATATTCGCAACAATTTGAAGATTGAAGCTATTAAAAATATATATGGGGGGGAAGCAATTAATCTTTTTCTCTAAATTTCATGATGAAATTCTATATTAACAATAAAAAGCATAATATAAATTAACTGATAAGCTGTGCAAAATGGTGCGGACACTGGCGAGCATGGATGATGCATCGATCTCACACACACGGCTCAAAGGATGGTGGCAAGGCATCAACCCCACGTACAGTACCTCGAAGGATGGTGGCAACGGCTGAACTGTTCATGCCCGATGACAATCAACTATGAGAGCTTGCATTGCCTATAGAATTTGGATGCATTACCTGTAGGATTTTCGCTTTGATAGGTGATGTATAGGGTGAATGGATGTTTTAATTTACAGTATAGAGACGAAAGGGAGGTTATGTATAGGGGGGGGAAATGAAAGGATTGATTTAATTATGACTAATTAGTTTAAACAAAGATGATTATGAAAGAAAATAAGATGATCATAGGTATTGGAGGTAGTGGGTAATCAAACTTTTCTTATCATTTAAATATTTATTATTGTGAGAAAACAAGTTCACAGAGCCTCCTACAAAATCAATATTGCTTTATTTCTAAAAATGCAACAGTAAAAGTTGCCTAAGCTTGAGTAACCAACGGGTGCGCATTAAATATTTTTACTGAAGGATAAATATGTTGATTAGTGGACAAATATATGTTGGTGACATTCTAGTCCTCTTCTAATTACCATAAACTTTTAGATATCGTAGAGGTCCTCTTCTAGTACCATAAAATTTTAGGTTGTTTAATAATAATATATTTGATTATTGATATTCCTTCCTAGTATTAATGATGGTGTAATAATTAGAATTAAGTGTACGATTAAGTGTGCAATTTGTGTGTACATGTATATGTATATGTATGTATTTTAAGTATGCGTAATAATTAGAATTAATGCTGGTTCAGGATCATAAAACATGTTCGGATATGCGCCTATTATAGGAGTGGTTTAACTTGTTACAACATCTTATTACACGAAGGAACTGTTGATGAATAATTAAAATTAACTTATAGCATGCAAATAAATCCGAAATAAAAAGAAGAAAAAATCTGGCCTGATCAGGTAGCAGTCGTGCAAGTTCTGTCCTAGAAGATTGAGGACCCTCTCCCCATGGCGCAGATGAGCCCCTCTCCCCTAGAGGTAAAAACTCTCGGAATCGGCTGGCATCTGTACTCGGGTGAGAGTATAGAGCTTCGGCTCAGATGAAGATGGTTGTTGCTGTGTATTTTCCCGAACTGGTTAGGGCTCTAATTATAGGGTTGAGAAACCAGAGTCGTTGCTGGATCCACGCCGTTGAATTCAAAACGTGGCACCTGTACTCGGGTGAGAGTATAGAGCTTCTACTCAGATGAAGATGGTTGTTGACGCAGCGCGGAAGTGATAACCTCGGAATCCACCAAGGGTGTTCTCTGAATCCACAAAGAACGATCTTCGAATCCACGAAGAACTTCGAATCCATGAAGAAAATATTGAAAAGAGAAATTTTATTGATGAAAATTTATTCTCCTTTGGGGTTACATAACTCTTCTTAAATAGAAAAACAAATAAGACTCCTAGTAAGACTAGATGGGGTTACATAACTCTTCTTAAATAGAAAAACAAATAAGACTCCTAGTAAGACTAGAATTACAAAAATAAAAAATATCAACAAATAGAAAAACAAATAAGACTCCTAGTAAGACTAGAATTACAAAAATAAAAAATATCAAATAAGACTCATGATAATATTAGAATTACAAAAAAATAGAAAGTATCAAATTCTATCCTAAAAAAGACTCCCTATAATAGAGGAAACAAATCATGAATCAAAATTGAATTTGTTTCCTGATATAATTTGACTCTAAAATTAAATTTATTTCCTAATCTATATTTCCTAATCTAAATAGACTTCAACTTAGATTAAGCGTCCTACATCAGTCTCCTCTTGTTAAAAGAAGCTCGACCTCGAGCTTATATTTTCTTCTCTTACAATGATCTGCATCTGCCTTATATTTAACGTTGATTTTCTCCATATGTTGTTTTGCCTCCTCTGCTAGGGCTTCTTCTGTATAAAACTCGTGTATGAATCTTTCTCATGACATGTGTATGTAAGTGGCAACATGTGGCTCTGTAGTTAGCATGAAAAACTCTTCTAAATATATTCCTTGTTGCTTTCTATATTCTAGTGTCGGCGGTATCATCTTATTGTTGTTGAAATTATTGATGATCATTGCTTCCAAAAAAGAATTTTCTCCCTCATACTCCAGACATAATTATTTCATCTTCTTTGCCTCGAGCCCTCCACCAAGCAATTCACACATATCATCAATTGCCTCACTCTCTATTTTATCATTCTCCTCTATCGGGACAACATCAATATGTTGAATATCACTTTCAACCACTTTAAGAATATCATGCATATCATCCATCTTCACTATCATATCACCATCATGTATTTCATGCATATCGAGTGTTTGCACCTTAGGAGGAATTTCGGTAGAGGGAGGTTCTTCTTTTTCAGTTACAACCAAGTCACAGACCTCTTCAGATTGCTTCAAGTTTTCTGTTAAAGCATAGTTGTTTGTCACCAAGAGTTCCTTCTTCTCAATAGTCTTTATCTTAGATGGCATCTTTTCTGGAAGAGGCTTGAGCACAATTCGTCGTCCATCTTTCTTGAAGATATAAATATTGTCTCTGCTCCTAGTGGTAGCTCCATTATTGAATTGCCATGGCCTACCTAAAAGCATATGACAAGTATCAATCTTGACAACATCACACAAAACCTCATCAACATAAGTTCGACTGATAGAAAAAGATACTCAACACACTTCATCGTTCTACACATCATTGCCCTTGTGAATCCAGTCGATCTTAACGAGAGGTGTGTGTTTCTCTGTCTTCAAACCTAACTTATTCACCATACGCCGAGAGACAAGATTCCTTCCACTGTGACTGTCAATAATAACATTACAAATCTTCTACATCACGGTACATCTCGTACGAAAGATATTGTGCTCTGGAGGTGGTTCTTCTTTCTTTATTACTTCTTCACTGTTCTTCCCAACTCTAATGTCTTGCTTAAGATCATTGTCCCTGTTGAATTTATCATATGGAGTCGGTTCACGTCGTTGGCGACCATCAACGCGATTTTGAACTCCTGCCGTGTTCAGACGCTCTACCGCCATCGTAAGTCGCTCTATGGCAGCTCTCATCTGATCACCATTAGTCTTCAGCTGATCTACGTCGGACCTCAGCACGTCGAACTCAGTTCGAGGAATAGGGGCTTCATCACCTGCCATCGGATCGGATGAACAATGCTCTGATACCAATTGACGCAGCACGGAAGTGATAACCTCGGAATCCACCAAGGGTGTTCTCTGAATCCACAAAGAACAATCTTCGAATCCACGAAGAAAATATTAAAAAGAGAAATTTTATTGATGAAAAGTTATTCTCCTTTGGGGTTACATGACTCTTCTTAAATAGAAAAACAAATAAGACTCCTAGTAAGACTAGAATTACAAAAATAAAAAATATCAAATAAGACTCCTGGTAATACTAGAATTACAAAAAAATAGAAAGTATCAAATTCTATCCTAAAAAAAGACTCCCTATAATAGAGGAAATAAATCATGAATCAAAATTGAATTTGTTTCCTATAATTTGACTCTAAAATTGAATTTATTTCCTAATCTAAATAGACTTCAACTTAGATTAAGCGTCCTACATTAGTTGTTGCACGTTCTCAAAACCCGCAGCCGTTGAATTCAAAACGTGGCATGCGTGCGCGACGAGGCGAGACGTGCATGCGCTTATTAGCCAAAGCCCAAACAAATGAAAGCCCAAAACACACCCTTCTTTAGGACCCTCAAAACCCAAAGAGATGAGAAGCAATTTAAACACTGTACTATTCATTATACTAGGCAATGTGGGACTATTCATTGAAGGTAAAGTTACCTTTTCTCCTACAACATATCCAACGGTAAGTTCCTCATAATCCTTTGGCTCATATATATCAAATCTTCAGGCGTGGCTAAGGGATAACCCTCGATGCACAGATATCTTAGGAAATTAATTTCTTGTGGGTGCTCTCCAAGTAAGTCAAACCCAAGACTTTGCTCTACTATTCATAGGAAGCTTATGAATCCACTTGAGTAGAAATTTTTTATATATAGTGATAATATGGGTAGAGTAGTACTGGATTCATATTAATCCTTGGTTTTGTTTGTTTGAACGGGGATCGTTTAGGCTGATCTTCCTTTTGAACATTGATAATTCGTTCAGACCAGCTACACGTGCCGCGGGAAAGATTTTATTACGAAACTTTTACAAGAATTTGAAGACGTTCCGCTTTTTATAGTTGAAATATGTTTCGTTAAAGTCTTATTGACTGATGAAACAATGGGAGGCTTATATCCACACTGATTCTCAGGGAAGGGGGGAAAAATTCTTTGCTTTCACATTGAAAATATTAACAAAACATTTGCAGAACGTATACGGCCTTACATAACACTACATGCCTGCATCCCTTCCCATCGACCAACAAATACATAAATATTCGCCATTAGCACACAAATCGTCACATTATGCATTTCCACCTTCAAAATCACCTCTGCAAAAACTAACTCAGCCATCACAATATCTCCATGAATCCTACAAGCACCAAGCAAAGCTCCCCAAACCTGTATATCGGGCTTCCCCTTTGCGAACTCATAAGCCTTCTTCCCTGCTTTCCCTAAAAGATCAAGAAGACATGCACAATGCTCCATCTTTGGATTTATGCCATACTCTTCCCTCATGCTCTTGAAATGCTCCATTCCAAATTCTACTACGCCTGAACGACTACAAGCGGATAATATCGATGCATATGTGAATCTATTTGGTTTTACTCATGTTTTCATTCGATTGGATAGAACGAAAGCTTCATTAGCATGCTCATGGATTGTGTATCCGTTGATCATTGCACGCCAAGAGACTGCCCCTATTAATTCAATCTCGTCAAAGACATTTTGAGCTAAGTTCGTGTAGCCATTCGCCAATATCTTCAGCACCTAAACAAGCACAAGCGGATCTCACGCTTACTAATGTCATTGCATTGAAGTTGACAATCTACTCCATTTTTCTAGGAGCTCAATGGCTTTTGCTCCTTCATCGCCTTGTTCATACACTGCAATCATAGTGTTCCACGAGACCAAAGTTTCATCTGTCATTTTCATCACTTGCATCGAACAAGTGACGAGCAACTGTACATCACCATGAAAAGAATTTACAGATTATGAATGATAATTACACTATCTACGTGAACTTTTGGTGGCCTGAATTCATCTAGTGTTACTCCCCGCGAACCAGTTATTCTAACATGGGAATTTGAATGGCCATCCAGGATATGAACTGCGATCCGTGAAGAGCAAGCCATCATAGTTCTATTCATCTGGCTAAGTTGTAAAGAGAACCAAAAAAGAGTAAAAAGCAATCAGACTGAAAAAGAAAAAATCTTCATACAGGAGTTGCAAACGTCACTAAAGACTTTTAACATAACTTGTATAAACTGCTGCTAAGCAGAAGTTATACAAGTTGTATTATGATGTTTACCTTGTCATTACTTGTTACCTATGTGCACTTAATTGTATTATGAGATCCTATACCTCATATTCATAAATTCCAGAGTCACTCTGCAATCTCTGCCAGTCAAAACTTCCAAGTTTTAAAGTTGCAAGTATTCTAGTAAAATCCCTCATGTGTGACGATGAAATAAGACTAGACTAGAATGCCCTATAAAATAATGTCATGAACTATCTAGCACCAAACATCAATAATTTGTATCTCTAAGCTGGTTAGAAAATCCCCCCCATAAGACCATCGACAAGAGAGAGTATTGCGCGCTCAAGTCCTAGATGGCAGTATGAGGAAAGGCAACCCTACTTTTATTAGTTATGAAATTTCAGCTACAAACTTCTTATAGACTAAGAAAGAGATTAGAGATGAAATGTATAGAACATCAATCGAGATTTGTATTCACTCTAGTCTCCACGGATAACATTCAGGAAGGCCAACGGAAGACATGTCCTATGTTCAAGATCTATGACTTGCAAAAACACATTCTTATAGGCAATATTCTAGAAGAAGTTCATATATTGGAATTATTACTTAGCCAACTACAATGAACCTTTGGCGAACATTTACAAAAATCAGAAACTAATATAATATATTGATTCTTTAAAACTATTTTCCTTACATAAAATAACCAATTTAGTCGTATTGTTTCCAAGTTCAGTATGGTTTACTGCAATTTGGAACTCGAATTGATTACGGAAAACTATAATTCTGAAATCCCGCAGGAGAAGTTTTCCATATATGAACATAATTTTATCTGGCAACCAACTATGATAATGGCTCTTAAATTTGGTGAAAATACCTGTTCAAACAATAAAACTTCCAGTCAAATTTTGAGCAACTGTCAACGATCAGGCCCAGTGCTGGGTCAGTTATAGCATGACAACTGGGGAGATGGCGGCTCTACAAGTTCTCGTAACATCAGAGAGAAATGCTATAGATGTATATGTTCTGCAACCTGTGGTTATTTCGGAAACAGAATAAAAAAATATTATACAAGCGAAATGTGAAATCCAAGTTAGGAAGATTTAATTTTCTACCAATATAACGAACTTCTTGTGGCTTGGAAGTTTAAAAATCACAATAGGAACTGGATTAATCAAGCGTTATTTAGGTACCTTTGGTAACTTTTTTAAGTGAGAGTTCAGTCAAGGAATCTCCAGAGGCTTCCAAATGCAGTAACTGCTTTGTCACTGATATTCAATAGGAAAAATAATCAGTATCAAATTTAAAATTTATCATCAAAACACTGCAGGGGCTTACCTAATAGTCGTTCACTAAGCCACTATTAGACAGTCTTTGATATATTTGTCAAGTTTGTACCAATTAGAAACGCAACATTTCTGATGAATAACTCCCTAACTCAGCTCTAATTCTATGACATTAAAATTGTGCCGACTAATATGAAAAATATATCTAATCAGAAAATTTGAACTTTCAATAACAAAGTGTGAGAGAGACCTGAAAATATTGCCCTGAATGTACAGCTTTTTAATTGGTCTACCTCCACTTGTGAGGTGTCTTAATGCCCAAGCACAAAAAGGTGAGGACAGTTTAGCCCAATAGCTCTCACGGAATCAACCCTCAGGTTTCTGCAAAGAATCAAGGAACCAAACTTCCAGCATGAGGTACTATAGTAACACTAAATTACCAATAAGATGAAGCTACTGAGCTTATATGAACAAAATTACATGTTTCCAACTAAATGAAAGTCAAAACCAACGTAACTAAGAAAAGGTGGAGAGATAAGCGACTTACTGACAATCATGTAAGCCAAGCTCCTTCAGGTTCGAACCGATTGCAGTAACTAAATAATAAATGAATTTGTCACAGACATTTGGGACACCAGCTAAAGGTTTCCAGAATGTTTAGTTCCAGTAATTCTGGAAGAATCAACATAGCATCTACACCTCAGCAACGATCTAGACACAATTATCTCAACATGGTTTTCAATCTAAAAGGCTCAAAGCCAAATTGATGATTCTATGAGAATTAAGAAGGCTACATTCTCCGAGGTTAACAGTGCTCAATAAAGGTGTTGAGAGACTAAAGAGACTGAGGTCACCATCAGATAGACAGCATGCTCCCTTAAGAAAAATCACAGTTAATGAAGGCAAACTATTAGGAAACCAGGACAAATGTATCCCTAAGTACATTATCTTGCATTCACCGGCCACATAAGTTGAGTTGCAATATCTGATTAATTCATTACAGAAACTATTATCAGTACATCATAGCAAACAATAATATGTACACAATTGTATATTAACCAGTATTCCATCAAGAACAAAAATATATGTACCTTGAGCTTACCACGGTTCAATCCACTAAAAATCTCCATAAAATCCTCCAATTTTATCCAAGATCAATTTCTTAGATACACACTTTCTTATGATGCAGCCAAGTAAACCTCAAGAACACGCCAGTTCATCTTCCTCCTCTTACACAACTACCGAACTAGCACATGTCTCAGTGTATCAGTAATCCCTTCCAGCAACTCAATCTCCTCTAACTTCTCCTCAACAACTCTCAAACAAAGAATCAGATATTTCAATTTACCCTTCAAATTATAGTTATCTTCACCATTGCCCTCAAATGATTATGGTAGTTAATTTATCTTTAAGTTTTACTTTTCAATCTAATTGTTGGAGAACCAAGTGGGAATATCTGTAGTATTTTATTAACGAATTCATTGTTTTAGAAATTACTAGAATTATCTTTAATTAACTTAAATAATTTAGAAACAAAACCCACTCATCAACAACCTTACCGGCACCGACAAACTTCTACACACCCCACCCAAAGTTAACACAAGAGTAGTAGGAGAATATGCTTGATATTACAGAGTCAAAAACTATATAGATGAATGAATAGTTGAATATGTCATGCGTTGAGATAGTATCAAATTTAATCCTTCTGGATCTTGATTCTGAACTGTCCCGATCTTCACTATATTTTTCATCGGTGACTAAATTTCTTTAAAGATATGCTGGATTTGTCGGGTTGCGATGACTTAATCTTACTACCAGATGCGAGAAGATTTAGTCAATAAATTCCTTACCAAAAATCCACTGAAAATCGCGCAATACAATTTGTTTTTAGATAATTCTACATTTTTTTAGTAATTAGTATGTTGATTCAAGAGAATTAGGATCAACAAAGATTTAATCTTAAATCTTCACTCCACCTCTTAGATATACAATGTACGAGAATATGAGAACTATACACATCCTATAAATAGAGGTGAGCACTCCCTCAATCATCCATTCCTCAAATCTTTCCTACACTATATTTCAATGGAATCAGCAAGTTTGAAAGCAGAACTTGAAGCAAATCTCGAGTACATGATAGAGGATGTGAGACCTCTTAGTCCCTTGATTTATCTTCTCTGTTCTTAAAAGCCATCTAATATTTGTTTATTCATGTTAATTATCTCTTGTTGCAGAAATTGATGAACGACTGCTACTTGGATGTTGGTATACTGCAAAGTCCTGCGTGTTCCAATTTATTTGATCAAATGTTAAGCAAGGCTTATGGAGAGAGTGTCGAAATCATGGATGAACTCAATGACTTAATGTATGATGAAATTTCTAATTCCCAAGTATTTTCCCCTCTATAATTAGGTCTAGCATAGTATGCAAGTAAATTAAGATTATTGTTAACTTTGAATACTTATATTCTGCGTGTAGCACTAATAACGATGATCTCAACTACCCGGAGATCGATAAATTTGCTTCAAAGCTGCACATGTGCATGGCTAGGTATTAAATTTCCTCTTCTTATTGTTCTATATTCTGATCATTAAAAGAATGTGATATGCTTCATGTTATAGTTCTTTAAGTAAAATTGTACATCTTTAAGGGAAAAAATAGAATTAGGATAAGCTATGCTTATCACCAATACTATCCATGATATTATTACTTCTGTTAGTAATAAATGGATAAAATTGGATTATCTAAAGTATCATTTTAGTTTCTAAATCATGGACTCGTTCATAAACTAGCAACAAATAAAAATTATTAATGTTCAGACAAGAAAAACTCCTTCAGCACAACTGTTCTAAAAATATCTCAATGTAAACTAAATTGGCAATACGTGAAATTGCATTATTTTACTAGTAAAATCAATATTTTCCAAAATTGTCCAAAATTGTTTACTTACTCCACAACATGAATTTTGATTAAAAAAATTTGTTTTCAAGTAAGTTTTATGATAAAAGATAAGTATACAATTTTAAATCTTTCAGTATATCACATATTCTAATTAAAATACTATGTAAATATTATTTTCAGGAAAAAACCAACAAAATGTAATATTCATATTCAAAAAAAAAATCTGAGATTTTAACTCACTAAGATGTTTTCTGACTATTCCACATGTAGAATTGGTTCTGAGAAGATGTCACGTGCTGCCACTGTGCTCCGACATTTCGCTTGGCTGAACAACAAAGAGAGGTAAAAGAAGAAAAAAGAAACAGATAAAGTTCATGATCATAAAAAAATTTGTTAATCATAAATTTGTAATGCAAAAGAAAATGGCCTTTGCTAACAGGTGTCTGAATGCCTTTGCTGAGTTTAATCGGGAGTATATTCCTTTCAAAAGTGATCTTCAAAGGATTGTTGAGGTACTCTACTCTTTATAACAGGAGATATTGCGAGAATAAAAAGATGACATGTTAACTTCAATTTCTCTTCTCAAAGATAAATTATGCTAAATATCATTTCCCATAAATCCTCCATTTTATGGTACAAATCATATTGACGAACTTGTTTTTTGTGAATTTACTGCAGCTGTTTGACCTGATCTTGAAGGCTGAAGCTGAAGGCAAATAATGAACGGAGAATATATAGAAAAACAATGTAGCTGGAAATACACTATTGTTGAATAAAAGCAGATCCTCAAACGCTGCCTATATTTTCCTTGTGACAGAAGTATACTTTATTGTAGAAGATTTGATGGTAATTTCTCTTTTGACACTGCAATGGACTAATGATACTAGTAGAGAGTGATCTCAACATAAGCGACTAAATGAACTTTTATAAGGTAGCTGAGATTTCACAAATAGTTTTAAAATATTCACTTTCCTTTATAAGTGAATAATAGTCTAGATTATTGGTTTTCTTTTTGCAGAGACGGTTTTGACTATCTTTTTTGGATATTGATATTTTGTTTGAACAATGAATTTTATCCATCATGTCCTCCAGGAACTGTTTTCATTTCGATCCTTTTATATGATTCACAAAATTTATGTTTTTGTAGATGAAGATGTTTCATTAAAATCTTATTAAGGAAACATGGGAAGCTTATTATATCCATTGTGATACTCAGGAAAGAAAAAAGAAGATACTTATCCTTCTTTTTCATTTAAGTATTTCCAAAACATTTGAAGAATATATCACTTTATATATTTTCTAAAATTTAAAAAAAAAAGGAAAGAAAGAAAGCAATATTACCTTACATAGCACTACATCCTGGCATCTTCTTTAACTCTTTCTTCTTCATCAACCTCCTCATTTTGGTCGCATCCTGCCATCGACCAGCATCCGCATAAATATTCAACATAAGCACACAAATTGTCACATTATTTACCTCCTCATTAGCAATCTCTTCTGCAAAAACTAACTCAGCCATCTCAACATCTCCATGGATCCTACAAGCACCAAGCAAAGCTCCCCAAACCGCTGTATCGGGCTTCATTTCCATCCCACGCACAAAATCATAAGCCTCCTTCAACCTCCCTGCTCTCCCTAATAGATCTACAACACATGCACAATGTTCTACCTTTGGATTTATCCCGTACTCTTCTCTCATGCTCTTGAAATGGTTCATTCCTTCTTCTACTAACCCTGAATGGCTACAAGCGGACAGTATCGATGTGTATGTAAAACTATTTGGTTTTACTCCTTCAGCTTTCATTCGATTGAATAGCTCAAGTGCTTCATTAGCACGTCCATGTATTGTGTATGCATTTATCATTGCACTCCAGGATACTACCCCTTTTAATTTAATGGAGTTGAAGATTTTCTGTGCTAAGTCTAAGTTTCCACATTTTGAGTACATGTCAATGAGGGCATTAGTGATTCTTATATCGGTCTCTAAGCCTCGACTTGTAGCTAGATCATGTACCCATTTTCCAATATCTTGAGCACCCAAAGTAGCACAAGCCGATATCACACTTACTAATGTCACAGCATTAAATTTAACACTCTTGATCATACTCCGAAAGAGCTCAATCGCCTTTGTTCCTTCATTTCCTTGCTCATAAACCGCAATCATAGTGTTCCATGAAACCAAAGTTCTGTGAATCATTTCATCAAACAAGTAACGAGCGACTTGCAAATCCCCACACTTTCCATACATCGCCACCAAAGCATTCACAACAGTAGTATACAAATTAAATCCTTCTTTAATCGCAAACCCATGAACTGATCTCCCTGAGTCCAACCATATATCTCCATTACACGCAGGAAGAACACTAACAGTCGTAACCTCATTGGGCCTCACATTCTCCGCATTCATTAATCTAAATACGTTCAACCCCTTATCAAACATAGAATTCTGCACGTACCCAGCAACCATCGCGGTCCAAACAACCACATTCTTAACTTCAACACCTCCACAAACCAACTCCATGTCGAAAATGTAGCCACAAGTAGAATACAAGAAAATCAGCGAGCTATTCACAAACACCCTATAAATAATGAGAAAATAGAAAAACAATGTAGCTGGAAATACACTATTGTTGAATAAAAGCAGATCCTCAAACGCTGCCTATATTTTCCTTGTGACAGAAGTATACTTTATTGTAGAAGATTTGATGGTAATTTCTCTTTTGACACTGCAATGGACTAATGATACTAGTAGAGAGTGATCTCAACATAAGCGACTAAATGAACTTTTATAAGGTAGCTGAGATTTCACAAATAGTTTTAAAATATTCACTTTCCTTTATAAGTGAATAATAGTCTAGATTATTGGTTTTCTTTTTGCAGAGACGGTTTTGACTATCTTTTTTGGATATTGATATTTTGTTTGAACAATGAATTTTATCCATCATGTCCTCCAGGAACTGTTTTCATTTCGATCCTTTTATATGATTCACAAAATTTATGTTTTTGTAGATGAAGATGTTTCATTAAAATCTTATTAAGGAAACATGGGAAGCTTATTATATCCATTGTGATACTCAGGAAAGAAAAAAGAAGATACTTATCCTTCTTTTTCATTTAAGTATTTCCAAAACATTTGAAGAATATATCACTTTATATATTTTCTAAAATTTAAAAAAAAAAGGAAAGAAAGAAAGCAATATTACCTTACATAGCACTACATCCTGGCATCTTCTTTAACTCTTTCTTCTTCATCAACCTCCTCATTTTGGTCGCATCCTGCCATCGACCAGCATCCGCATAAATATTCAACATAAGCACACAAATTGTCACATTATTTACCTCCTCATTAGCAATCTCTTCTGCAAAAACTAACTCAGCCATCTCAACATCTCCATGGATCCTACAAGCACCAAGCAAAGCTCCCCAAACCGCTGTATCGGGCTTCATTTCCATCCCACGCACAAAATCATAAGCCTCCTTCAACCTCCCTGCTCTCCCTAATAGATCTACAACACATGCACAATGTTCTACCTTTGGATTTATCCCGTACTCTTCTCTCATGCTCTTGAAATGGTTCATTCCTTCTTCTACTAACCCTGAATGGCTACAAGCGGACAGTATCGATGTGTATGTAAAACTATTTGGTTTTACTCCTTCAGCTTTCATTCGATTGAATAGCTCAAGTGCTTCATTAGCACGTCCATGTATTGTGTATGCATTTATCATTGCACTCCAGGATACTACCCCTTTTAATTTAATGGAGTTGAAGATTTTCTGTGCTAAGTCTAAGTTTCCACATTTTGAGTACATGTCAATGAGGGCATTAGTGATTCTTATATCGGTCTCTAAGCCTCGACTTGTAGCTAGATCATGTACCCATTTTCCAATATCTTGAGCACCCAAAGTAGCACAAGCCGATATCACACTTACTAATGTCACAGCATTAAATTTAACACTCTTGATCATACTCCGAAAGAGCTCAATCGCCTTTGTTCCTTCATTTCCTTGCTCATAAACCGCAATCATAGTGTTCCATGAAACCAAAGTTCTGTGAATCATTTCATCAAACAAGTAACGAGCGACTTGCAAATCCCCACACTTTCCATACATCGCCACCAAAGCATTCACAACAGTAGTATACAAATTAAATCCTTCTTTAATCGCAAACCCATGAACTGATCTCCCTGAGTCCAACCATATATCTCCATTACACGCAGGAAGAACACTAACAGTCGTAACCTCATTGGGCCTCACATTCTCCGCATTCATTAATCTAAATACGTTCAACCCCTTATCAAACATAGAATTCTGCACGTACCCAGCAACCATCGCGGTCCAAACAACCACATTCTTAACTTCAACACCTCCACAAACCAACTCCATGTCGAAAATGTAGCCACAAGTAGAATACAAGAAAATCAGCGAGCTATTCACAAACACATAACCATCAAGCCCATTCTTAATCACATTGCAATGTGCTTGCCTTCCTTCGCGAACTTGGGAGAGGACGGCGGAGGATCGGAGGATGAAGGGGAAAGTGAAGCTGTCGGGTTTGAGACCGAGGCGGTGCATACGGGAGTAGAGAGGGAAGACTTGGCGGAGGGGGCCAAGGTCGGAGTAGGCGCGGAAAAGGGTGTTGAAGAGGAAGGGGTCTGGGTGGGGGATTTCGTCGAAGAGCTTGCGGGCGTAGAGGATGGAGGGGGAGAAGGCGGAGGAGAGGGAGAGGAGTTTGGCGGAGAAAGGGAGGTGATGGTGGAGACCGTGAGTGATGAGGAGGGAGTGGACGCGTTTGAGGGAGGAGAGGGAGCTGCAGGTGTTCAGGAGGCGGGTGAAATTGAATTGGATTTGGGGGGAAGTTCGGGACATGGAATAAGAGAAGGGCCTGATAGACAAATTTGACGACTCTAGAGATCTAGAGAGAGAGAGAGAGAGAGTGCAACAGTAAAGAGAAGAAAAAGTGGCGGATCACGAATATGTTCCTGAGTCCCTGACAGACGACCTCCGAGTGACGCTGTGTTCGGTTTGATACAGTCGAAATGTTCCTGCTACATTAAAAGTTCAAAAATATTAAGTGGGATAACTTTTATTTTATGGTGTCATTCATTAAGGGGCTGTTTGGTTGTATGTTTTTACCATGTAAAAGGATGTAAAGTGTAAAAAAGTGGGTCCCAATGTCAGCTTTCATCACTTTCAATTGTTTGTTTGTAGTTGTGAAAATAGTGTAAAGTGATTTCATATGCTGATATGGCTTGTAAAGTGATTTCATGAAAAAAAGACATGATTTTAGGAGAAAGTTAACATTGAAGTTAGGAAAAAATAATAAAAAATAATTTCAACCAATATGATCATTTGAGTAGGGACCACTTTTTACACTTTCTAAACAAACAATTAAAGTTTCATTTTGCAAACCAAACAAGTGTTTTATGATTCCAATGGAATCAAAAACAAACAAAGAAAAGTATAAAAGTGAAATTGATGAGGTGGACAATAACTTTCCAAGTTGTGTCATAAATACACAACTTTACCAACAACAACCTAAGACAAGGGGATTGAAATCTTTTTAGGATGTTATTAATTGGGACGGTGAGATTGAGACAATTACTTTCACTTTTCCCAAAATTATCTCATTTCTATATAAACTTTTTTTCCTAACATCTAAAAATTACTTCATTCTTAACTTGGGGACCATTATAGGGAAAGTGAGATAATTTTGAAGTATTAGTTTATTAAATATCTAATATATATATTTATTGTATTATGATATATAATATACGCTAATTGTATTATATTATATAATATATCCTAATTATATTATATTATCAAATTCCACTATTACGCAAGATAATAAAATATTATATAGTATTATCCAATATGACATTATTATATATCATTATTATATATTAGTTAATAACATTTTATATATTATAATATTAGTATTATATTGTTTAATATATATATATATATATTATTAGTTAGAATGAAAATATTATTGTAGTTTTTTTATGATATAAAATATTGTATTATAATTTAGTATTTATATATTTAACATAATAATATATTAATTACATTATAATATAATTTAATATGATAATATATTTTATTATATAGAATATTTTAATTTGTATAACAATTTACTATTTTCTATTACCCTTTATTATATTGATTCATAGTCTTAAATATATTGTCAATATTGAGGTAGTTATAATATTAAATAATATTTTATTGCTACGATAAAAATAGTAATAATCTACTATATATTAAAGTATGATGTTATATATAACATTTTATATAAAATTAATATAATATAATATATTTATTAATAATATTGAATGTATT